AGAATTGTATTTCTTAAAAAAAATATGCAATGTGTGTGTTGAAAATATTTTTCTTGATCTTGATGAATAAAAATTTAATATTTAACGGATATTCGGCAGATATTCAGCGGATATTCAGTGGATATTCGGTGAATGACCAATTATCCGGATGTTGAGTTTTATTGATTGGCTAATTGCTCAAACACCCAGATAATCAACGGATACAACCACTATGGATTGGCTGTCTTTATAAAATAATGTTCCAAATTCAAACATATTGCTTAACTTGAACATTTATGGTCAAGGTTAGAATTAGAAGGTGCCCAAAGAATGTGAGAAGTTGGAGTCTGTATTACAAGAAGAATGGGGTAAAATTACAAATGATATCCTAATGAAATTTATAGAAGCTGTTATTGGAATTTTTTTTTTTTAGACATGAAAACCTAAGCTAAAAATGATAGTAATAATGTTTGCCTTAATTCAAAAATTTAAATGATGCAACATAATGCCAATCAATAATAATAAAAAAAAATTGCATCAAATGAAAGTAAATAGATCAAGCTTTCAGATTACAAAAAGTTTTTTCTTACCAAATAAAAAGAAATTTTTTTATATATAGTAAAGATATTGAAAAAAAAATATTCTAATAGATAGGCTTTATAACTAAATGAGATGGGCAAATGGCTCTCGCAACTTTATTATAGAAGACTTGAACAATAAAACTATAAAAAGTTATCATGGTTTAAAGTTATTAAATTTATTATTAAATTTCCATCATAACTGATAAATTAATAGAAATTCGTGTTGGAATATATTGTTATGTGCGGATTTTTAGTATTTATCATATATTGATGTAACGTATGTTTTGATCAACAACCATAGAATACCACAAGTAAAATAAACGTCCTAATGAAATCGATATAGTATGTCAAGAAGAATAGAAGCTGTTATTGAACGTGTGATCAACAAAATATTCTTTGGGAAAATTTTTCATTATTTTTCTAAAGAATAAGATTTTGCATGTATAATCATGAAAACCTATGATGCAATTTTTTTTGTGTGTGGAGTTTTGCGCGTTTGGGTTTGTGTGGCCATGTATTTTATGTTATGATTTTCAGATGATAGTCTTGTCATTTTGAGAATAGTAATAGTAGCAATATATTATATAGTAATAATAGTGATAGTCTCAACACAAAATTTATTATTATTCTAAAGTGATGGCAGTAATCTTTACCCATCCATAAATTATAGCATTTTTCATTTTTGTATCGCCATTAATTTGGACTTTTGTTCCAAATGAACAAAAAAAAAGTTTAGTACCAGGTTTTGAAGGTAAATATAAAATATAAAATGAAAGCTAGTTTTATAAATCTGGAAATAATTAAATTTTATCTAATTTTTTTCACATAACTCCAATGGATGATATAAGAAGCTAATGAGAAATCTGAAAATACTCCTCAGTCAAGTAAAGCTTCTGGGAAATTACCATCAAAGCAAAAAAAGCCTGCAACTTCTTCGCATCAATTACATTCTTCACATTGCACTGTAGCACATCCTGGACATTCACTCATTCAGTATGCATTAATGATTGATGCGGGTTCTACAGGTTCTCGTATTCATGTTTACAGATTTAATTATTGTAAATCATCACCAGAATTAGAGGATGAAGTATTTGCTCACATTGAACCTGGTCTTTCTGCATATGCTGATGATTCTGATGCAGCAGCGAGAAGTTTAGATGAATTGTTAAAAGTTGCACTTGAAAATGTTCCCAAAGAATTGCATAATTGTACACCAGTGGCAGTCAAGGCTACTGCTGGTTTACGATTATTAGGAACCAAAAAAAGTGAGCATATATTAGAAGCTGTTAGAAATCATTTAGAAAACAAATACCCTTTTCAAATAATTGAAAATGATGGTGTGGTAATTATGGATGGCAAAGATGAAGGTATTATGATTCTTTATGCATATACACATATATACATATTTATAATTAGATTATAACTTGTTTTATTATTAGGTGTTTATGCATGGATTACAGTTAATTATTTATTGAATAAAGTTGGCGCAAAAAATAAATCACCCACAGCTGCAATTTTTGACCTTGGAGGTGGCTCAACTCAAATAGTTTTTGAACCTGGATCACTAGATGGTTATGAGGTTGCACCTGGAGAACATAGATATGAATTAGAATATGGTGGACATAAATATATTTTATATCAACATTCTTATTTACATTTTGGATTAATGGAGGCAAAAAAAGCAATTATAAGTTTCATGGTAAAATTATGGAATAATAGTATTGATGGTATCAAGAATGATTTGATTTCTGATATATCTCTTAGTTATGATGGAAATCTTAAAGATGAATTTTATATTCCACATACTTGCTTACCAAAAAATTATTCAGAATCATGGCAAATTGATATTGATAATGATGATGACAATTCAGTTAAACTCATTGGTACAGGTGGTGGACATGTTCAGTGTAGGTTCATAGTAGAACAAATACTCAACAAACATAAAGAATTCCATTATTCCCATGTGCCTTTGATGGTGTATATCAGCTGTCTCTTACTGCATCAGGAAATTAATTTAGCGTAAACTTGTATAAATCTTACGATGCCAACGTAATATTGTGTAAATCTTACAGTGCCGACGTAAGTTTTACACTTTTTTATTATTAAACTTACAATTGACATGTGTAAAATTTTTTTATATTTTCTGGATGTGATACATTTTCAACACATGATATTTATGCTTTTTCATATTTTTATGATTGTGTAGGCCATTAGGAATGCTGTCAGAATTTACATTAAAAGAACTTTGTGATCTTACTGATCAAGTTTGTTCAGGAAATTATAAAAGATTCTCTTATTTACCAGAAGCTGTAAAGGAACTTAAAAAGAATCCATATTATTGCATGAACTTATCATTTATTTATGAACTTTTACATACTGGTTATGAAATACCTCTGGAAAGAGAAATAAAAATTGAAACTGGATGGTGTCTTGGAGCATCAATAGCAATGCTAGATCAAAGCTTTTGGTGTAAAGAGTTCTAATGTATTTATATTTATTAATCAACATACAAACTATATATGTAAATAGAAATATACAATATGATGATTTGTTTTTTTTTTTTAATTTATTTGTAGTAATTTCATAATATGTATACATAAATTTTTTAATGTTTATTATATACTATGAAAAGCTATCCCTTTACATCCTTATAATGAATGAACCTTTTTTAAAAAAATGAAATAAGCAAATAATACAAATGATTACAAATGATTATAGTTATACAAATAAAAACTTTTTTTTTGCCTGATGTTACCAGTTCTCCTAAGCAATGAAATATTTGTGTTTTGTTGACTTTAAAATAATCACAAAGTACTAGTTCCTATAGATACAATGTATATAAATAAAAGAGTCATGTATGCATTAATTATAGGGGCCTAAATGCATTTACAGTTATCTTACTTGAGATCATTTATGTAGAATGTCATGTTCTTTTAAAAATTAAGAGATTTAACTCCATTTCAGTGATAGCATTATCTTTTGCAAGATATGGATTTATTAAAACTCATTGTTGCAATTACACATAATTAGTCGGGTCTGGGTCACTTTACCAACACCCACTTACCAACAGGTCACTTTACCAACAATCAAGTAAGATTTCTAGCCCAAACTGTTTCTTGAAGCTTGAACTATTTTGGCAATTTGGGCTTTTCAACATTTTTTATATAATAAGGGTGAGAGCTTAACTTTTCAAGAAATTATGTTTAAAAGTATTTAAATGCAAGAGAAAAGATTTAATTATTTTATTTATTTAAAATTAAAAATAAATTCATCACAATTATAATTAATCAATTAAATGTTAATAAATAAATTTAATAAGAAATAACATGAAGTCACGAATAGCATGGTGGAAGTTTGATTTTATTGAATATAAAATATATACATATGTAAACTCAATAAGTCAGTCACTCAATAAGTCAGTTTACTTGATAAGTCAGCCAAAATTTTCACTCCATTTTCTTAATATTTAATTCAATAAGTTGGTTTACTCAATAAGTTGGTCATATGATCTCACCCCCACATGACCAACTTATCAAGTTTACATATGTAAATGTGACAAAATAAAATTTAGATTTTTACCAAAATTAGAAATTTCAGGGAAAATCAAGATTTATATGGATCATGTAATGTTGATCACAATGAACCAGTGTTGGGAAAAGGAACAAATTTTCCAGTTCCAGTTCCAGTGTTCCAGTGACTTTTTTCTGTAACACCAATGGATCACTGGAAACCACTGGAACTACTGGAAAACTGGAACCACTGGAAACAGCAATGGATCACTGGAACCAATGGAATCAATAGATTTTATATTTATTTGTTAATGAAAACTACAGTAAATTAATTTTAACATTAATTATTTTTATAAATTTCTAATATTGTATTTTCTGAAAGTAATGATATGAACTCATTTGGAATTTTGATCCAAGTTTAAATAATCTTGCTAATTTCCATTTGGCCTCTTATTAACAGCTGGATGAACCCTATGTTTTAACAGAATTTTTAAATTCTTCTGGATCATCATCCAAATTACTTCCATCATTAGTATCATTAAAAGTCTCATCATACAGTGTTTCAACCAATAACTTTCAATTCCATTGTTTGATGACGAACTGATGGAAGAACTTGATTCATTATATACTGTATATCATCATTTATTTGGATTTATATGTCATCAGGAAAATGGGTACAAATATTATGCGTATATAATATGCAATTGCAGGGATTAAGCATATAATATATGTACAATTTGCATACATAAAAAAATACGCGATTTGTACGCATATTATATGCTTAATCCCTGCAATTGTGTATTATATACACATAATATTTGTACCTATTTTCCTGATGGTGAAATATCAATGAATTAGAACTTTCAGATGGAGGGGGTGTAATAGATGAATTATCATAATTATTGTTCAATTCTGTTGTAAGATCATAAACAAACATAATAAAATATTATTAATTATTGCAATTAATCCAATGATAATATAAAATATATACAATCAATATCAACATCAACATCAACATCAACATCAATTTCTATACTATTTTTTAATCTTGATTCAATTCTTTTTTGTCTCACTTCTAAATGTGAATTTACTGATTCCAATTTATCTGGATTAATAGTTTGCAAAGTTTTCACAATTAATTAAGTGTTTACCAATAGATGGAACAGTATTAGAAAATTTTAATTGTGTAACATTATGTAAGACCATTCCCACTCTTTTATTTGTATGCAGGCTTTGCAGTTAGCTAAACAATTACTTTTAACCATTATCTCTCTTTTGTTACAACATATTTGCAAAGCATCCAAAAGTTTTCCGCCTGTGGAACTTGTAAGTAAAGTCACAAGGTGAACATCTACAAAATGGTCATATGATCTCATCACATGGAGCCATGTACAAAAAAAAGATAATTATTGTGAAAAATTGACATCATTCAAGCTTGTCATAAAGTCTGACCCAAAAGAAAAAGAACTGTATTAATATAGTGGCAGTGACATTACCCATATTTATTTCATTATTACATGTAAATATAGGTATTAAAAATAAAATTTACAGATTTTTCATTGGTCCCAGTGGTCCAATGCTCCAGTGATGTTTCCAAACTGTTCCCACTGGAACCAGAAATTCCCAACAAAAAATTTAATGTGTAAATATTAAGGTTACTGACCAAAACTGCTTCTATTAGTAGCCGAAATTGCCCAAATACTTTGGGCAAAAATTTTTTTTTTATAAGCCCAAACTACTAGCCAAAATTGGGCGAAATTATTTTAAAGTTGTTTAATTCGTAATCTGTGAAACAACTGCAAAAATTTGCCGATCATTAATATAATTTTCAGGAGTTTTGAGAATCTGACATTACCTCACGTGACCAACGTGAGTCAAGAAAATTACACAACCACAACAATTTTTATTTTATTTTAAAAAGAGTAACTATTAAAAACTAAATAGAAATAACATATTTATATTTTTCTTGGATA